TAAAATGGCGGCTGGAGTGGGAAAAGGAGCAAAATTTTTACAAACTCCTTCTATGTACTGTGTTTTCTGAAATCCCAGTTTTTCTGTCATCCTGTTGCCATGTTAGTAACAGTAATAGAAGGTTATATTTCACCAATTCTTTTCACCTGTTGCCTAAGAAGCATAGACAGATTGTATTAAGTGATTAATTGCAGGAATCGTGTGGCATATTCAAGACAAAAAATCTCTAGCACTACAGTAAAAGTTTTGTATTACATCTCTGCAAAAAAACATAAAACATTGTGCTTCACGCTTTATAGCCTTCCCTGCAGTTGCCCATGATTGCAACAAAAATCTTATACTCTGCAGGACAGAAAACCACAAGGGAGAGATTTTATATTGAGAGGCATTTCGTGTGTGTGCCGTTCACCATTACTCTCGTAACTGAGCGGGAATTGTTGGAACAAAGACCTTTTAAATGAATGCAAAATATCTTAGATTCAGTAAAAGCTATTTGGTGCTTGCTTTTGCTATTTTTATTTGTATCTAAATGATTGAGATGATCCAAAAAGAAATGTGTTCCTGTAATGTATTCTGTGGTGGCAGTCACTCACTTAGTTTGGTAGAGTGAGCAGAATAGCAAAAAACCTGTCATAATTAATTTTAATTAATTTTATAGTTCTGTTGTTACCCTTAAATAGAGAGATAGGAGGACATTTTGGCTACGTACCAGAGGATATATGTTCCATGTATGGACCACTGGCATATATGGAGTTTGTATCTTCTTATGGGATGCCACTGCTGTGTGCGGGGAATTTTTTTCAGACTAAAAGGTTTGGTCCTATTTAGATAGTCTATACATATTTTTCTAAAAATAGTTTTAAATTATTTTGAATTTTTTTTTTAAGGTGTAGGTGAAAATGCCAAGTACCTTTCCAGTGCTTAGTCAGATTCTGATTGCCTTTATGCAGGTAGCTATCCGAAAACGGCCATCTGAATTAGCACAAAACCTATTACTTCAGTGCTAGTCACCATCTTTTGGTTTCTTTTTTTCTGTCTTTTGCTATTTACTTGATGGTTACATGCCTTCTGTGGTTGAATTTCATCATCAGATTTCTGTTCCATATGTTCCACTGTCCTTTTGTCTTACATATGAATTCCTTGTAGAAATAGACTACAGTTGTCTGACTTTCACAAGAGCAAGACCTCTCTGGAGGCAGATAGAGCTTGTAGTAGCTGCCTATCGTCTCACAGTATCTCTGCACTGTCTGGGAGTAAGTGGATTTACATGCATGGTTTCTACATCAGAGGTTTCAGGGCAGGATGAAAATTTCAGCTGTGGTTGCTCTTAAACCTGTGCCACATGAAGAGTATTCCATCAGGACAAGGTTTGGAGACCTTCCCTTAGCCTTTCACCCTCCTCTCTTTTCCACATCTCTTTGAAAGTTTTTTTTATAGTATTGACTTTGTTTCTGTTCCTGCTTCTTTCCCATTTACTCTCTTGCACAAGAAAGGAAAGGGAATGGGATTATCTTGAGCTCTAGAGTTCCTAGTTCCTTCACTTCTGTCTCGGGACTGATGTGCTGGAAAAAATACAGTTTAAACTTCCACAGGTTGCCAGTGCTGTAGGGATGTGCTCTGGAACCACACACACATACCCATGCATTGGTGCATTAAAAAATTCAGGTGCTTCTGCAAGGTACCAGGTAGTAGAGGAGATGCTCCTGTTTGGAAAGCTACTGCTTCACTGATCTGCTGCCTACCTTCCTGCTCTGTGGCCAGGGTGGTGAGCCAGCTTAACGTGGAAGTTGCATGAGAACCTGCTCCTGCTAATTGTCAACATCCATCAGACACTGCAGGGATGCAGAGGCTTAGGAACTTGGCCACATACGTGTCCATGACATAGTGAGGAGCAGTAAATATCTGCATTTATTTTTTTTTATTGGCAAATATTTTTACATTTATTTTTTACTGTCAAAAGAGTGTTTTCTACCAGCATTACAGTTATTCAACTTCTCTTGAGGAGGAAACATTTTAGCTTTTTCCCAGCCTTACTGGAGGAGGAAGTCCTTCTATGAAACTAACTCTACTGGGTTTGTAACAGGATGAAGGCACCATGTCAATTTTCTAATGACTAGGGAGAGAATGATACTGATTACCAATTACCTACAAAAGAAAGGTGTTAAATGTTTGTAGGATTTCCCTTGTAAAAGGTCTCTAGTTCTTGGAGTGATGGTGGCCTTACATTACTGCTTGTAGATATTTTTTAATTTATTTTATGGTAACCTGCAGATATCTTTACAAAACCATTTGCTCCCTTGTGTGCCTTTCCTATCCTACTCTCTCCCTGCCAAAAAAACTCCCACCCAAACCAAACCAACAGAAAGAAAAGAAAAATCCAGTAGAAAATACCTCGGCAATGGCTGTAGGAGGGATGTCAGTGACCTGCTGGTGCAGTTCTGAGGGTAATTCCCAGTGGTGCTCCTCAGTGAGTGAGTCTCCTTTATAAAACATAGCTACTTGGCCCATGGGAAGAAATATTAAGCCTTCTTTATAAACCAAGTCCCTGTTTTTGGCAAAAAGCAGAAGTGTGTAAATGCAGGAAGATGCATTTAGCATTCAGACTCCTGTGGGAATTTAACTGGGGACAAAGAATAAGCATTTGAGCCAGTAATAATTTCTGTATTTGGAAGATGGAAATTAGGGGTAATAAATTTAAATAATGGTTAGAGGGTCTTTTCCCTCCACACAACTTATATAAGAATTATTTGTTTTGCAAACCATTGCATTTAGGGGGAGGTATAATATTCCCCTTCAATAGCAGAGTGAAACTGAACCTTCTGTGTGTGGGTTTGGTGCCTGCAGTTGCTCAGTTTTTAGAGTGGGCTTTCATTATGTAAACTCCTTGTGTCTTTTTTTTTGTGGATTGGTTTGTTTGTTTTTTGTTTTTTTTTTTGTAATTTCCCTTATGGACAGATGAGGTGCTTTCTCAGGACAGAAGGCTTGATTCTGCAGTGCCTTGATGTGTCCAGAGGTAGCTAGAGTCAGGAGTCTTCAATTCCTGGCAGGCCCAGAAATGGTTTAGGGGTGAATCTGGCTTAATACTTTTCTATCCCAAGCTGTATTCAGTAACTGGAGAAAATCTTGGTTTTGGCTCTTCTGTCTGACTGCTACCAGAAACTTTCTTAACTATATGCTGACAAAAATGAGGAGTTTTCAAATTTAAGAGCTGTGAATGAACGAAACATTACAAGGAACTGCAAATGAAGAGTTTTCCAGAGAGTGTCACAGGTACACCCCCAGATCTATCACTTTCACTATCATCAGTGAATTTTGCATAGCAGGCAGTTCTAGGCTTGTTATTCAATTAGAGTATAAAACCAGTGACATTTCCTTTGACAGCTGAGAACTGAAATTTGTTTTTCACCTAAACACTTAGTAGTTTGCCCTTTCAAAAATGTCAGTATTACCCATAAGGTCCTTAAACTTTTTGGGTTTTTTTAATGAATTGAAGAGCTAAAGCATGTGGCATTCTTTTTGAAGTGAATACTTTGCAAAGCAGATTTCTGTTTGTTTTTGGTTTTGTGTTGTTTTTTTTTTTTTTAGAACCTTTTGCGTAAATTGCAGGCACTACAGCATTGGATACATTGCCCAGAAGCTCATGAATTTGTTTTTCAGAGAGAGCATCACTGTTCTTACAAAGTATGACTCAAATCTTTTCCTCTCTTGGACCTTTGGAAGATGAACATATTGGTTAGAAGGCCTATACTAGAGCTCTGCTTTAGCTCACAGTGTGGATTTATAAGGATACACAATGCTTTGTTCAACTGTAATGACTATGAAGACGCAATGTGATGTGGTGGAGACCAGTCAAACTGCATCTCTTCTTTAAACACTATCTTTATTGAACAGGCTTTTGCGGGGGGTGGATGTGAGTACAGGTTTCTCTTGAAAATTCACATGGATATTTTTACATGCATGTTTTTAGTTTGTTTGTGTCTACAAACTTAATGCAGGGAGTTAGGTTTTATCAGCAAGTAGAAGTTAAGGCAAGACACTGTTCAGTAGCTGCCAAGGTACCTGTCTATTACTGTGTTCCAGACTGGGTGATTGAAGAAGATGCCAAAAATTAAACTCCATAAAGTCCATAACTTTTTCTTGCGTACTGAGAACAAGGGGGAGCTCAGTCCATTCACATGGAAGAAAGTTTGGGGTTGAGAATGACTGGAACTATACTTCTGCTTTAAATAGGAGATAAACGGGTTACTTTTAATAGATAACACCAGTTAAAGCAGTCATAATTTCCATGCAGCTCTGTCCTGCAGTTCAGAAAAGGTTTGTTGATGCTGTACAGAAGATAGTCCTACTCTTTTTAATTGCAGCAACTGTTTTTTCTAAACAGCCATTAAAATGAACAGTACAGTTCCTTCATTTGTACGTGTACTTTCTGTTTTTAAATTGTTCAAGGGTTAGATCTGGTAATAGACAAAGATATTTTAATCCGTCTCAATAAATATTTGTACATTTGTGCCTGACCTCAAATATCTAAATCACTGTGTTAAGAACATAGCTTTCAAGAACCTTCTTTGCTTCCATGTTGTCAATTTTCTCTTTTTTTTTTTCCTTCCCCCTTTTGGCTATTAGCATGATTTGGATATGTTGCTTATGTGGATAGAACTGAAGAGGGGAAAAAAGATTGTCTTCTTTGCAACTTTTTTAGCGTACTGTGTCATGATATATCGCCTTGTACTCTTGGGCAACAAGGAAATGAATTTATTTTCCTTCTGTAATGTTCATATGCTTCATGTTCAGTTAATAAGAAAAGTCACATAACTTAAACTTTTAGAAAGCTTGCTGCATGAATCTTTAAATTTTGGTTACAAAAATGTATTTCAGAGTCCATGTCTTCAGTCATGTGAAATATTAATCATGTTTTGAGATGTCCTTTAATATTGTTAAGCCTTGTTTTCAAAGGTACCCTGAATATCAAAAATAACTTAAGACCATTCTGTTTTCTGCAGTACTTTGGAAGCTTGCTTGTAATATTCTGCGTTGAACTGGCCTGTGGTGTTTGGACCTATGAGCAGGAAATAACGGTGAGTCAGAAAAGGAGGCTGCATTTTTTCAACAGAAGAAAACAAAGATTAACATTAGCTAGCTGTTTTCTAGTTGCTGTAGTGTTTATCCTTGTTCATTATTCTGACAGTCTAATTTCATCTGCCTTTTATTTTTGAATGGAGAATTCTTCTGGGAAATCCTGTCTCTCTGGAAGGCTATCTCTGGGTTTCTCCCCACTCCCTCTATATTTGAGAGCCAAATCCTGCAGCCTCTGATTTAAGGACTTTATTTTTTGTTAATTCTTGCTTAAGCATGTTCTCATTGAAGTCAGTGGAAGTTTTGAGGATAAAGTATGAACTTCAGGCTTAAGATAATTATTTTGAGAGAGGAGATGTGAGAATTTGAAGGGATTTTGCCCCAAAAGGTTTTCATGTTTTAAAGAGCTGTACCTGAGTGTACTACGTGGTAAACACAGTGTGATCTTTTAGTAGAGGACTTGCTGTCTGCTGAAATCTTCACACTGCCTCCACAAGCCATAAATGCCATTTTTAAGCAAAACATGTCTTGGCTATAAAACACTCTTCTGTAAACTTGTGAAGAGGTTTTATCTCTGTCTGATTTTTATAGCTGTACCAACCTTTACTTTTCAAACTGAAGACTTGTAACCATCATGCAAGAAAATGGGTGAGTGTTAAGCAGGATTTAAACTGAAACGTTATTCTGCTGGTTGCTGTATCCTTATGTCTGGTACTCAGTCTGGTACATTTTTATGATTAGAGGGACAACTATTTTCTCTGATCTGCCAAGATACGCCCAATATACTGGGTTTTCCAACAGTGAGTAGCAATTATATTGCAGTAAATGGGAGGGAACCTTTTTGATATTTACACGGTACTGGGACCAGAGGAATTTCTGGCAGATTTGAAGGCTGAAGTTACGTGGCAGCACTCATTCCCTTGTGGTTCAGATTCCAGAGGGGTGTTCTAATATAACAGCGACTAAGGCCTTTACTTTAAATGACAGCTTATGGTGATGCATTTTAAAATTGGGAATGCAGACAAGAGGCATGCTTCATCCTCTGGGTACAGTTGCCCTCTGCGGGGGCTTTGCCAAGGCTGACAGTTATCACTAACATCCATCTTTCCACAGAAATCTTGTCAGTGGAAGCTGCCTGAAATAACATGGCCTTCAGTGCACTAGTACATGCCTTCTCCAGCCCTCGCTATTCAGTTAGAGAACCTGAAGTTACAGTGTTATTTAGTATGACCCGCAAGCTTTCAGTTACCTGCTATGCCACTGAAACCCAAACCTGGGACAGTTTGTTAAAAGCTGGTGTAGCCCTACCATATGTTAAGGCACTAATGATGCTGCTTCCCTCTAGGAAAAAAAATGAATGCTGTCCTGGCATCCATTTGCCAAAAGCAGCAGTGCTGAGCTCCACGTCTGCACCTTCTGCAATGGGTCACAGTGAACCCAGATACTCCAGTTCCTCTCTTCTTCCCCTTTCTCCCAGGAGTTCGAGTGCATGCACATGATCACACAAATATAACAAGCAAAAAACCTTTTAGTCAGCTGCTTTTCTTTTTTTTTTTTTGATCTCTTTTCTTCTTTCCCTTAATATATTTTTTTCATTCCTTATGCCCTTAAATAGTTTGGGTTTGGTTGGTTTTTTCTCTTTCCATCTGATTTCTTTTTCTCCTTTCCTTTGACCTAACACTACTGCTCTTTGTGTGATGAGGTTGGCCAGATGCAGGCTTCTTGCTGCTGGTACCCGTAGGGAATGTGGCAGTCTGGAAAAGCACAGTTGTCCTTCAGTGGTTCTTTCATATCTGTGCAGGTCACTCCCCTAGAGCATACTTTCTCCTGCTCTACTTGATAAAGATAAGAAGATCCCCCTCTTATACCCATGGCAGGGACTTGATGTCACGTTGCTTTCAGCATAGCATGAAATCACACGGGTCCTTGGTAGGTTTCAGAGAATCAGTTGGCATTAGTGTAGGTGGGTGGGTGATGTTGTTAAAAATGCCACTAAGGCATAACCGCCTCTGCTGATCCGATATCGGTTCTCCTTGGCGTGTGGAAAAGTTGCTGTAAGAGTCCTTGTATAAACAATTCTCCTTCCAGCTCATGATCGCTCTCGGTATGAAGTGTGCCTCATGACTAATTTATTCCACCCACAAGATTGAAAAGCCAGCATGGGTTCTTGGCTTACTTGGGCATTGGTCAAGCCTTGAGACTCATTAGAAAAATAATGAGTAAGTAGATCTCAATGGCAAACCGAGCTTCACAGAATTTATGCTAAAATCAAACCAGCATCTCTGGTTTTTTTTGTCTGTGCACTATACAGAAGAGTTGGTGTATAGTCTATCAAATGCATCTTGAGATGATGTATTGTGCACTACCACATGCGTGAGCTGAAGCTGGTTAGTAGATACATCAATGCCCTTAGTTTGACATCTTAGCATTTTCAGAGCAAACACATGGATTCCAATATTTCTCTGTAGCTCCAGAATCAAATTGCCTTCCCACAGAGGAGTTTAGTTTGTTTTGACTTGCTTTTAATTTCCTTCTGTCACTTCTTGATTTTTTTTTTCCCCTGCCTTCCATTGTTTTCATAAAGAAGTTGGATGCCTTGTGTTACGTGCGTAACCTTGGACTGTGTTCAACTCAAATAAGATAATAAAAAAAAAGTCTAGCAAATATGAGCTTAATTGCAGCAATAGCAAATATTACCCAAAGAAAGCAGAGTGCTAACTTCCAGTGCAGTAGAGAGAGAAATGAATTGAGTACAAACTATATTATTATATTATAGTGACTAGTGTAAATGTTTGCAATAGAAATATTCTGTGATACTGTTTTTGTAAGTAGTTTTAGTACTCTACTGATAACACACTTTTCATGTGGACAATTGTGAGTTCAGTGCTTTATAGCTTAAGAAATAAACATCCTGCTAAGTCAAAGGTGTGTTAAATTTTTGAGATGTTATTAATATATTCATATTTAGAATATATGAAGCTTTACCAGGGCATCAAAATTGTAGTATATCTTAGCAACAGTAATGAAATATTATCGAATGTTCTTGGATTACGAGGTCAGGCAGGCAGTGATTGTCCCTGTATTTTTGCAGAGCATCTAGCATGACGAAGACCAGGCTCCTTGGGAAATATTGTGATCATTTTTTTTTTCTTAGATAACATTTGTTGCTATTTGCAGAATGCCCTTACTGTTCACTCCAAATTGAACGGAATTGCTAGAGTAGCCGGGCTCCCTCGCGCTCTGAATGAAAGCTGATATTGCAATTGTGATTTCTTTCACCACTGTTAGGGCTACTGGGAACAAGACAAAACTCAGCATGATTGGTGCGTGTGCCTAGAAGGATAACTGCAAAATCTTCAGCTCCTTGTTTTAGTTTGGCACACTGAAATTTGTGCTGCTGAGCAGAAGTTAGTTTCTTATCTTGACTCTTTCACTGCATTGTATGCCAGGTGCCATAGCACTTGCTTCTGTTGTTTCTAACAAGTTACTAATTGAGGGTCGTAGCTGACAACAGAGAGCACCAGCTCCTCACTTCTGAGCAGTCAGATCTGAGTCATAGAATGGTTTGGGTTGGAGGGGACCTTAAAGATCTTCAAAGCCCCATCCAGCCTGGCCTTCCAGGGATGGGGCATCTGCAGCTCCTCTGGGCAACCTGTTCCAGTGTCTCATGACCTTCAGAATAAAGAATTTCTTCCTCATATCTAATCTAAATCTGCCCTCATCCTATCACTACACTCCCAGATAAAGAGTAGAAAAGTACTTCGAGAATCCTTCTTTCAGGAGAAGAGATTCACAGGGCTGTGAGTGTGTGTGAAAAAAAAAGTTCACATGGTCTAAGCTTTCTAGTTACTGTCCTTGAGTGAAGATAGTGAAACTGACTGCCTTCAGGATACCTGTGTGTGGGACTCCAGGCAAAGCGAGAAGGCCACTGAAAAGACTCTTAGGGTAGAATTCATCTCGATTAATTTGATATATTTGGAAGTTAGATGTTTAAACCTAAGTTTCTCACCTTAGTGAAGTGGATTTGAGACTTCCAGGGGATGATTCATCTGCTCTGTTTAAAATATTAATCATGAGATGAATTGCCCTGTAGGGCTGTCTCTTTCTTTATATTGACTAAGAAGACACCAAGGAGATACCTAAACTGGGACAGACTAATGCCATCCCTGGTGACTTGAATGGGGCTCAGTGCAAGTTTTATGCCAGATTAAAAAAAAATAATCTGGTAATGATATAATCAAATTGTACCCAAATATCTCTGAATCTCTTCAAAATGCAACTCCTTTTCCACTGTAAATTAATTTGTAATCAAAGGATGCAAAAAACTTTTTCCTGATGTTTAAAAATGACTTTTAAAGTTTCGTTACCATAAAAATTGAAGCACTTATTTCCCTGTTCTACTCAAATACAGAGTTATTTTGGTCAATGCACTGAAATTATCTCAGAATAGACAGAAGTTCTGGGTTTGGAGCCAGAAGCCAACTGATCTGTTTTATGATCTTTCTGTTGCGTGAATCTCTTTTCTTTCCTTGCTCCAGGTTCCGGTGCAGTGGTCTGATATGATCACGCTGAAAGCCAGAATGACCAATTACGGCCTGCCTAGGTACCAGTGGCTCACCCATGCTTGGAATTTCTTCCAGAGGGAGGTAAGATGACAGTTAATTCATGAGCTGAAGTAATACATGCTCAATAAATGTTATTTATCTGTTAAAGGAAAAGGTTTATTTTTAATTGACTAGGTAAATGCAAGTTCATTTCATGTGCAACCCTGTGTAGTGATGATATATTTTAACATCACTTGATATCTAACTCTTAAGCTTTTGTAGGCTCTGAAGACACTAAACCACAAAAAGAACCAATGTTCCTGAATTCAGGTCAATTACTAACACTGTCTTCTGCTTTGTTAGGACACCAACACTTTTTAGATTTATTACAACATTGAAGAATATGATGTATATAAAATTAAAAATCTGCAGGTGAAGTAAAATGAACATATCTGTATGCTTTTTTAATATTAAACAGTGCTCCCCTTCCTGCGTGCTCTCTTAGTTTCTTTTCACAGACCTGTCATGGTTAAGGTATGTTTAGTGGAAACAAGTAGAAAAGGAAGTTTCCAAAAAGATGCCAACACTGTCACTTTAGCTGAGGTTAGAGAAAGTGATCAGGATTTTTATTTCCTTTGACCGGAGTGGGTGGGGGAAAGAAACCAAAAAAGCTGCCTTGTGTATTCACAGTTTTGCCCTCTGGCCTACTAAACTTCAGAACTGTTTTTAAAGAATGAGCTATTATGTTACAAAACCATGAAATTGCCCAAGGTAAAACCCATTAACTCCAAATATGACTCACGTGCAGGAAGAGAACTCTTTAAATGCCTGTCATTGTGCTGCCCTTGTTAAAATGTTGAAATCTATCATTGTTGCACAGATTTCCTGTTTATTTAAACATTTCCTGGCAGCACTTGGTTAGTCTTTATTTATACTAAAACCTGAAAGAAAGAGTGAGGACTACACGAGGTTAAGCATCCCCCACCCTCCCCGGTCCCCTGCTCTGGCTGTGCAAGTGCACTGTGAAACAGAGTAATCCTTCATACCTTTGTGTCTGTTCTGTACCTGAGATAACATAATCAAACGGTCACTGTTTCCCTGAATAGAGCTGATACTGTATCCAGGTTTAAATGTAGAAGTTGATTAAATTAAAAGCTGCTTCTTATACTCCTGGTTGTTGCAGTGTCGTCATAATGGATGGTTTTAATATGAGTATCAGTATTAAAACTTCAATTATGCCTTAAATCTTCACAGGAGAGAAAGTTCAGTTTAGAAGTTAGATTTCATAGAATCTTAGAATGGTTAGAGTTGGAAGGGACCTTAAAGATCATCAAGTCCCAACTCCTCTGCCTTGGGCAGGGACACCTCCCACTAGACCAGGTTACTCAAAGCCCCATCCAACCTGGCCTTGGACACTTCCAGGGATGGGGCATCCACAAGTTCTCTGGGTGAGAGATATTCCCTCTCTGACCAGAGGAATGATGTGGGGAAACAAGTGAACTGAGAAGGCTGTTTTACAGTTTCTAGTTAATTGGTGGACTCTCGTTCTTTGTACTCGTAACTCAGATGAAGCATGTGTGAGTCTGGTATGTGCTTTATGCCTGGATGAGCGCTATGCTTGGGACCCTTCTTCAGTCAGCATTTCCTTAGAAAAAATGTGATTATAATTCTGTTCCCAAAGATTGATCAGCTTGTGCTCTTTCTTCTGTATCTTTTGACATCTGAGAGAGATGGGAAATGTATTTTCCCCCCAGCCCTCTTACTGGTTTAATCTCAGAGTTGTGGCTATGCTAAGGAAGATGGGATGGGTCAATTGAAGTCAGGAACGAAGCACTGGGTGGGGGAAAGAAAAGATCTGAGAGTAAAAAAAAGATGTTTAATGAAGTTGTCTTTGCAATAACAATAAGGAGCTAAAGCTTGAGCTTTCCTTAGAAAGTCCTGTGTTGGGAGGATTTTGACTGACTAACGAATTGATAAAAACAGAGACATTAAAGCTGTGGTGAAAAAGGAAGTAGTGAGATCTGTAAGAGGACCGGTGATGCTAAGGTGTGGTGTGTGCCGATGTGGCATCTGGGCACTGATCTGCTTGATTGTGGCCGAGGAGTGCCATGGTATATAGGACTCTGAAGAGGGTACGGGGGGCAAACATTTCCAAGCCCAGGGGTCAAAGGAAGCAGGTGATGAATTACAAACACTCAGGCTGGTACTGGAGAACATCCAGAAAAAAAAGCAGCAGCATGTTCCTGCAGCAAGGCTTTTTTTTTCCAGTCATACCGAGTCCCCATCCAATCCTGAAGAAAATCTAATGTAGCTGCTTCAGCCCTTTTTTATGTGCAAGCAACTAGGAATGTGCCAGGCTGGTCGTTTGGCTTTAAATCTCTTGGTGTGCTTTGCAGAGGAGAAAACAGGTTGTTAGTCCTGGTGGGTTTTATAGCCAATTATGGCTCATCTGCTTTGCAGCCAGACTTTTTACTCTTATGATTGATTCTGTTGCGGTGTTTATTTCAGTGATATCCCCTCCCTCTGTTTTCCTTTTCAGCGTTTGTGATTTCTATACCTCTTTTCCCACTTTCTAAATCTTTTTCTCTTTCTGTATTCAGATAAATCTGTGCTTTTTCTCATGTATTTTTCCACAGATGTGTCCATAGCTGTAGCCTTGCAGGAGCAGTCCTCACTCATAAGACCTTAATTATCGTTTCCTACTCTTTCAGTTGTTCATTAGTCAATCTTTTGACATGAAGTTATCATGTTCCTCGAAGTAAGGATAGCAGAATTACAGAGTAGGACAATTTCTGTGAAGTGTCCTTTGACAGAGCACTTGGGATTTAAAGAGCAGAGCAATATCATAGGCTGTTTTTGAGGTGTTCATTGGTCACACATTACATTTTTTCGTATTGCTTTTGTGTCAAAGCATAGCAGAAGAGGATATGTGGAAGCTATTGTAGAGGTTTTTAGTCTTATTTAAATATTTTAGAAGTTGTTAATAGGAATTTATGTATCTTGTTTGATGACCTACTTTTATGAAGAAGTAGCATCATTATTGCTGATCTTGGTTAATCCTTCCTTTGCAGTTTAAATGTTGTGGGGTGGTGTACTTCACAGACTGGCTGGAAATGACAGAGATGGACTGGCCGCCTGACTCCTGTTGTGTCAGAGAGTTCCCAGGATGCTCTAAGCAGGCACATCATGAGGATCTCAGTGACCTTTATCAGGAGGTAAGAAGGAAAATGTGGAAAGCTTTGTACATTCTTCCTGATCCAGTCATTTTCCATACTCATCACTTGCAGCGGAGCAGAAAGGTTTGTAGAGAACTTGTGTTGATGGAAAGTGTTTATCGTGTTTATTTATGTTTATTTTTTTTAATGCTTAAGAGCGGGGGCAAGGAAGGAAGAATCAATGAATTCACTCATCCGCCCTTGTCTGGAAGTGAGATAACTTAATAGCAGTGCTGTTAAAATCTGAGATACGTTTTTGGTTTGTATTGGTTAGGTTGGAATTGCAATTTGCTCCAGTCAAAAAATAAAAAAAATAGTTCTGGTGTAATGTCTAGTCTCCAGCTTGCCAAACTAAGAAAAATTCTACTTACCCTGTGGTAATGAAGACTCTAGTGGTATGCATGGTGAAGGATGCTTTTGAGAAGTCCTTTGGAAAACGAGAGCTCTATTCTTAGCAGGGCTCATGAACGGAGGCATATAGTTCTGTTACTCTGCTGTGAGCATGCATAGAAACTTTGTGTGAAAATGCTCTTTCTCTCTCAACTACTACATTACAGTAGGATTATTATTATTTTAAAAGAATAAAGAAAAGCCTTAAAAACAGGAGAAGACCTATTTGAAATCAAAAAGTGGGTAATGGAGGAGATCATGGTAGAAAGTCATTACTGTTTTTAGAGTGAAAATTATAAAAACAAGTGAACATTTTCTCTACTAAAGCTGTTCTTAACTGTTCTCACAAAAAAAAAAGTCGTCTAAAGTTACCTTCATCAGGAAACTGCCGCCTAACAGACCTCTGAAGACCTTTAATTGTGTATTCAGTAATATCTGAATGACCAACAGTCCAGGTAGTCCAGTAGTGACAAAAAGCATGTCTCAGTCAAGTAGTTAAGAGGATCTGAGAAGAGATGTGCTCTTCATTTGCTTGTTTTAAGAGTAATATAGGGTGGATAGGAAGGAAGACAGGCCTGAGAAGTGTCCTCTCAAATGCTGCAGCACGAACATTTCTCTAGTGGCCAACACAACTCTGCGTTATGGAAGAGCACACAAAGAACCATTTTATCTTGTCCCAGTCTCTTACTGCTGTTCAAGACACTTTCTTAGAAGAATCTATTATGTGGCTCTTGTTCAGGAGCTGTGGAGAGATACCTCTGAAGCAGAGGAGATTCACTATATAAACAAGCCCAGATGAATATTAGCTGTTGCCAGGAAACAATTAAATTTTGGTGAAATGGCATCACTGCCATGGAGTAATTTGCTAGGTTTGTACAGCATTGATTCTATAAGCAGAAATTATACAATCTATTCTGGACTTTCAGACATCCATCCTAGGGCTCCTGTGCTTCTACTAGGAAGAGCTGCCAAAAGGCAGGTGCCTCAGAAGGCCAGTCTGTGCTAGGGAACCTTGGAGACAGCAGCAGAGCTGTTTTCTTTCCAGCAGCTCCTCACAGAGCCTCACCTGCCTTATGGCAAGGCTTGCAGCACTGATTATGCTTTAGAAGCATCAGTCTCTGGCTGGGAAAGCCATTCAGGCTTCTTCTGGGCCTGCCAGTCTCTTAAGCTTTCTTGAAGAAGAAAGAACTGTGGCTCACTCTGCAATAATGGTTGCTTTTTGCAATACTGTTTCCAGTATTGATGCCATACAGCCCAACTCTGCTATAGAGAGCCCTCAAGGACTGTAGATGTATGGAAGCTGCAGAATGTTAATTTGCCCCGAGTGTCCTTCCTGCTTATGTGAAAAGGCAAGAGTATGTGAGCGTTGTCGCTCAATAAAACACTAATTTTTAAGCTCAGGAAGCTTAAAAATTTCTGAGAAGATGTGAGTGTCTTGTTGAAACTGCAGGGTTTTCTCACCTCTTCTGCTAACATTTCATTTCCACAGCCATATTCCAGGAAAGTGGTTCTCTGCACACTTAATACGTGTAGGTTCTTTTGGTTCTACTTTGGCTATATTAATAGCCAAATATAATGAGGGTATAGAACGTAAGGGATCTGTTGAGACCCACTTGATGAAAAAAAAAAAAGGCTTGCCTGCCTTTTTTTCTAAAGGAAACCTGAAAAACATATTTCTGTTTCTTCCCCTACATATGCTACAGCATTTTGGATGGATTCAGCTTTTACCAAAAATTTCTTTCTTGTTGTCTGCTGCAAATTCTGTTCCAAAAAGGGACAGGCTGTTTTCTGTCTTGCCAGTTACAAAGATACTCCGTTGCTCTTTGAGAAATGTATAGTATTTGGTTGGCAAAATGGGTTTTTTTTTGTCCTTCCCCCATGCTGCTTGCCTGTGGGTTGTCTCACAGGCTTGTACAATATACTTGCTAATATGTTTATCAATATCATGCAAAACCAACTTATGCTTGCAAGACTAATCTGTCTGATTTCTGCTTTGGAGGATTGAAGAAGAAAAGCTTTTTTGGAAAGTGATTCAAAACCGACTTGCACAGTCTGGTGGTTTGAGAGGGAGCCTGACGAGATTAGCCTCGCTAGCCTGAAATTGGCTTATGTAAATGCTTCGCAAGTCCATTTTGGTACTTCAGAAAAATTCTTTATAGCACTTCAGAAAACTGAAGTTCACTTTGGCTGGGATTGCTGTAGTTTTCTGCTGGGATCTTAGAGCTTTCTGTAGTCTAAGTTGGAATCCTTCACAATACATTTTTTGTAGGAAGAAGGGTGGCTTACTTATAGTTCTGCCTGTTTTTGGAAGGAATCACATTTCTCCTGCTGGATTTTGAAAGCTATTTTTCAAATATGTAGTCATCTTGGACTACTGTTATTCTGACGAGCTTCACCTTTGGTGCAGTTCATGGAACAGACTAACCCTGGCAAGAGGGTGGTTGTGAGGGAGGTGCATCAGGTGATGATGTGGCATCAGAGGTTTGTTGTTGTCTGAGGACAAGGAGAGCTTTGCCTGTCTTGTGATCGGGAACTGTAGCCTAGATAAAATGATTGGTAGGAGTTGATGTCTTCAGGGGGAAAAAATTGCATATTCAATATTTTTTCTTTTGTTTCCTAGCATAATTTTGAGTATGCTCAACATTTGAGTATGCTCAACATTTGACTAATGCTGGTGGTTTATCTTTTCTGCTCTGAGAAGTGCCTTATTTGAAGATCTGGTCCTTATTCTGCAATGTTGCAGTAAATCAGAAGTATATGCTTTGTCTCCATTTTAAGACTGAAAATATAAAATGGTCTTTGTAATAAATACGAATCACACCTTTAATCCAAAGCTCTGTAGGAGTTTGAAGCTAATTCTTCTGAATGATCGCTGCAAAGTTTTATATTATTTTTGAGTTGTCAACAAGAGCTCCCTGTTTAGTGGCAAACTCTTACTTTTGCCAAGGAAAGTATATTTATGTACTCTTTAATTGCAGGCTACCAACTATGAATGTGTCACATAAGCAGAAATAAAATGCACGAATGGGAGGATATCAGGGGTGGCTGGATATTTCTCGATTTTTAAGCTGATTTTGAACGTGTATTAGAGCAGAACTGTAAGAACATCATTAAATGGAGGGAGGCAGCCTATCTAGATTGGGCATAATTTGTCTCAGTTATGTGTCTGTACTGCAGGAAATGGAGGCATTAATGTTATTGCTTTCTGTTAATGGATGTTTCCTCTAGGCAACAAATGAGCTGAATTTGAATACTGCTGTGGTTGAGCATTTTTAAATTGTGACCAGCATGTACCTTTATCCCTTAAAGTTATCAAAACTATTAAAATGCAGCCAGTTTCTCTGTAATTAAAAACAAATTTGGAAAGTAGTATAATTAGAACAGTTTTCTAGTTGAAGAAAAAAAGACAATTTTTGCTCCTCATCAGGTTCCATGATGTTGCTTTTGCTACAGTGTGACATTTTAGGGTTTTTTTTGTCTTTTCAGCTTTCAAAGAATCCACGTTTATTCCTTGTTCTGTTTAAACTATGTTAATATGTAAAAGATGACACACTGAACTGATGAATGGAGCAAAGACATTGAGATCCTTTAACTTACTCTGGTACAATTGTTGTACAGTACGTTAATTTTATTTAGATCCTAAATGAGAATCTGTTGACCGCAGTGTGAATTTTTGTGTGTGAGGCAAGAATCAGGCCTTTCATCAAATACATTCAGGACTGTAGCATTTGAAATTGTTGGCTTTGGGAATTTCAGTGTGATTGAAAACTGTTATTTATCATGTCCTGTCTTTAGATTCTGTCACTTTGATCAATTGCTTTCTTTTCATAGAAAAGCTGTAAGAAATAAGTAGTAAGGATGTAAGTGCAAAAATGACATTTTGAAGACAGTGCCCATTTTGATGTGTTCCTGATGTCTTCTGCTGGGACCTATGCCTTTTGATACCCGTGGAATTATCCCATCCAGATTATTACTCTGAATTTTCCCTTGTTCCTTTGATTTCTGTGCTGTGAAGGTTAGAATAGAGAATAGGCACAGCCTAGAGTAGCTCAGGGCCTTCTCTTCCAAGTTTTATCCATTCTAAGACTGGGCATCACCTCTTCTGAGCAGCAAGAACCAGAGCTTGTGTTTAGACTGTTGTCCAGTAGTTCCCGGAGCTGGTGTCTGTGTGTCATTGCTGCCCTGTGAGGGCTTTGGAGCTTTCCTGAAGCCTTCTACAGTAATTATTTATCCATTTAAGCAAACTGGAGCCTGCGCTGATGGATTGGAAAGATCTGAGGAGTCAAAGAGCAACTACTCTTTCTAAATTTCCATTTCTAGGAAACAGCAACCTGTGATTTTTTTATTTTTAACATACTTTTTGTTCATCAGACTTTTTATGTGTAAATAATAATAGTAATTAACATTATTCTTTAAATAATTGGTTTGGATTTGCACCTGTTCAACGGTAGGGAGAGGTGGTGTGTGTCATCCTAATACAGCGTGTGGATGAGTGGTCAGCAGGGTCTGGCTGCCTGGGTTTGTGTAGAGCCTCATGCAGAGCGGGTCGTTACAGAGGTTAAGGAAACAAAACAAGGCAGTGACACAGCGAGGTGACATTCTAGCTCAAATGTCTGTATTGGCATAACAGTCAGTGGTGTGTGCATTGGTACTTTCGTTGCCTCAGAGCTGTAGGTAGCCCAACTCAGCCTGGGTGGCTGAGCCACTGCATGGCCAGGGGTGGTCCCTGCTGCAGCCAGACACAGCGTAAAGGAGGGGAAAAAGTATGGAAACCACCATGCCAAACCAGTTTGGTTTTGAACTGGTAAATTTCCCTGCCATTTTTCACAATATTGGCTTTGATGTTGCCACCCAGTAACACTGACTTGGAGTTGATATGATTTTTCACGTTTTTTCTTTTTTTTTTTTTTTTTTCCTCTGAGCAAATAACCAGCAGTCTTTTCAAAGACATAGGGATATTACTGTGCTTTAAGTAGCAACAGCTCAGCACAAGATAGAAGATAAAACTGGCTCCTGGTATAATGCTATCATAACAATCGACAGAGAAGTTTCTACAGTCAGATCAGAAATTAAGCCAGTTAATTTTAAAATATAGTCTACGGATAGAGGAGGTAGGTGGAGTGTAACTAACATATCCAGCCCCAGGCTGGATGGGGCTTTGAGCAACCTGCTCTGGTAGGAGGTGTCCCTGCCCATGGCAGGGGGGTTGGAATTCGATGATCTTTAAGGTCCCTTCCAACTCTAACCATTCTGTGATTCTATAAATGGGTATGCTGTTTGCAGCGAGGAGATGCTTCTCCTTCAGGAATAAAAAGCAGGAGTAATGCCACATATATGTGGTGTTAGTACTCCAAAGTACTAAGTAAAATCTGTATCCACTGTGTTCTGGAGATTTGTCAGAAGTCCTCTGTTAAAGGTTATTCTGTTCAGTGCTCCTTACTCAGACAGTGTCTGGAATGTAATGATTTTTCTACTCCCAAGGGGCTTTCTGCAGAACTAGTAAACTGGCATATAACGAGTCCAGATAACGCACTAAAAAAGAACAGGTGGGAAGAAACACTGATGAGGTTATGCAGGTCTGTAGATCTTTCCTAGAATAATATTGTTTTAAGTTCAGATTGTGGTATTATTTGTAGAAAAAGTCTGAAGAGTTTAAAATATTGACAAGCTTGAAGTTCGGCAATTGAAGGAGAGATACAAGAGGCTTAAGAGGATTTAATGGCTTTTAAACCTTCACAAAACCTTTGAGTTTCTTTAAAAATCAGTGCTAGTTGATAGGAACTCAGATTAACTTTGAGTGATTTCTGAATTGAAGAGCAGTGCAGATCTCTCGGAGCTTGTTACATGCAGTAAACTCTCAGTGTATGAGAAAACTTTAAGATGGCATTATGGAGGCCATTAAAAATTAGGGAAAATAATTTTCAAAGTATTGCTTGAAGGAGGCAAGAGAGGAATTTTGGGGAACCAGTGCTAAGTAGGATGAGCAAAAGCTTTCAGAACTGCAAGCTAATAATATTGACTAATTTTTTTTAATCTGTTGTTGTTCCATAGGGATGCGGTAAAAAAATGTACAGTTTTCTGAGGGGGACGAAGCAATTGCAAGTGCTGAGATTTCTGGGAATCTCTATTGGAGTAACGCAGATCCTGGCTATGATCCTCACTATAACTTTGCTGTGGGCTCTGTACTACGACAGGAGGGATCCCGGGGCGGATCAGATCATGGCCCTGAAGAGTGACACCTCGCAGCAGCTGTCCTGTCATTCCGTGGAGCTACTGAAACCAAGCCTGACAAGGATCTTTGAACACACATCCATGGCAAACAGCTTTAATACACACTTTGAAATGGAAGAGCTTTAGGTGATTCAAGGAATCTGAGAAGTCACAAAGGGGTTCAGTTGGGTTTTGTTGTTGTTTTTATTCTGTTCCATCAAGTATGCCAAATATACCAGTCTTGCCATGCTTAAGAAGACAGCTTGTGAATGGAAGGAGGCCTGCATAGAAAGAAGGAAAAGCCTTAGAAGAGCCACGAAACAGTTGATTTTGTTTGTTTGTTTGTTTGTTTTAAAAGGCACTCATTCACTGGGCACAGAAATACTTAATTTATTGTCACAAGCTGTGTATGTGTAAAATACCAATTAATTCACAGATGGACAGACAGAACCTCTAAGGAAGCATCATGGGAAAGGAAGAGAAACACTCGTCTTCTGAAGAAGTGACTGTGCTTTGGACAAGCAAAATGTGACTTCAGCTCAAATTGACTTAAATTTTTAATAAGCCATTTGGAAAATGTTTTAATCAGGGATCTATGTATATATAATTGTGTGTTTTTGTGTGTGCATGGAAAGCAGAACTACAATTCAAGTCAATACTTGGATTTAAAAATTTGCGAGATTTGTAAAAAGGGCAAGATTTTCTTTTTTCTAACAAAATCTTTATCTTAGCTGTTGTTAAAGATGTTCTAAAACCTCTATTTTTATCTAACAACTGTTTTTTTAAAATTTTAAATATATGAAACAGGGATTAAAAACCAAATACGACTTTGGAGAATAGACTTTAATTTTCTGAGTAATTCTGGAGAACTCTTCATTGAAACAGTTTGTTGTAAGGACTATTTCTTAGTAAAAAGAAAAGGAAAGAAAACCTTAAACAGTCTTTCCAAAATGGGAATCGATATGGGAGTAGCACATTTTTATAGATAAATCTTTTCTCCTGTCTGTGATTCCCCTGAAGGTAGAAACAAAAGACTATAAGAAAATGCTTACAGTTCTGGATGTTATTGCAATAATTGTAAAAGTACATGAGGAGAAACTTTACTTTGGCAGTGTCTTCATTAAGAGCTCTCTAGTGGCTTAAAATGCCAACTGGAAACAGCGTTAAAATGTATTTATTGAGGTGGGGAAAGTGCATTTTACTGTATTTTTATGAACAATGTTTATTTCATAGGATTATTTTTACAGTTGGCCACGCTCCTGAAATATATATTTGTTCCACTGAGTACAGTAGTTTGTGGCAAGTGGGTTTTTACATAATATTACATTTAAAAAATTCTTTCATTTGTTTTGGAATTTGTAAAAGAAAAGGAAAAAAAAAAGCAAAGTGTGATTTGGTAGACAATAAAATTACTTTTGTCTTAAATTCAATAATGTCTTTTTTATTTTGAAGTCCTAGAACATGAATGCTTTGGGTGGGAGTTGGGAGTATCCTCCCGCTGGTTTGAGTTAATTTGACATGTCTTTACCCATTCCACTTACTCTGCTGCGGAGAAACTAACTTGTAAATTTCATTTTCCTTTTTTATTGTTTCTGATGATGCTTCTTAAAGGCTTATGAAATTTAGCTCTTCAGTTGTGTGGGCTGTTGTTTGTTTTTTTAGAAGTCCATGTGTAGGTGTAATTATTTTACGGGTACTATTGCAAGCAAGATTACCTTTCTGCTTTTGTACCTTTCCTACAGAAATGCTAATACTTATTTTGGGAGGTAAGAAAAAGGCTAAAAGATAGGCCTTCCCAAAATTTTGCTTGGAGTATCTTTGTCAGAAACACTTCCTCATGCGGTCTTCAGGAACCCTGGTGCCAGCATTACTGCAAATTTCCATCCTTCCCATCGCTTAACCCGGACAGCGCTTCTGTAGCTTGGGGTAAGGTTCCTCTGCAGAAAAAGAGCAAGTATCTGAGAAAGCCTGGATGTAGATCAGCTCTAGACTTGGGAGTGCTACAGAGACCTGTGATGGTACACAGTGGAGCCATTGTTGGGGTTTTTCCCTGTTTAAACAAAAAAAAAAACCCAAAAAACCACCACCAAACCACAAATTATGGAATGTTGGAATGTTTTGATTGTGGATTGCATGGATTACAAGTACACAGCTATGTTCAGACTTGAAGTTTTACCCAAGGAGTGTCAGTGGAAGCTCCCTTGGCCATGCCTCAGCACTTCAAGCCCTCACATGGGATGACTCCTTGGGCTACCAGTGAGGTTGCCTCTGTATCTTCTCGTGTCTGGGTTGGAGCTCGTGAAGGAACAAGTATGGCAAGCCAGGCTAGGCAGATTTGTTTGAGAAGCGCACAGCTAGAATTAGTGATACAGACAGCCCAGGCCAGTTGGTTTTAGGCTTTCCAGGTGGTGAGGAAGCACTACCATTACATGTAGTCAGTTTATTCTAAGAGCAGGAGTAGGGCTGGCTGAAAGGGTGAACCGGTGAACTTCTGGGACTGGCTCGGAGGCAAAGGCCTCCTCCCTTCTAGAGAAATGTTCATGTGGTGGAGTCCCTGGTTAGTGTCTCCTTAAATCCAGAAACATTTGGACACTGTGAGGTAGTGATCCTCTTCCTAGGCATTGAAGAATGGTATTTGTGCACCCCAGATGTTAATCTGACAGAAGAGGCTAGAGCTGCACAGTGACAAATCATGCTAGAACTTCTGCAGTCAGTCCTGGGTTAAGCCCAGGATTGCCCCTACAGGGGTGTAACCAGTAGTGGTTACGTGTACCTACATGTATGGTCCTTGTGGTGGTTGCCCAACCTGGGAATAAAACGCAAGCAAGGTGTTAACGGCACCCTGAGAAAAAACAGGCTCCAAGGTCTGGAGATGTCCCTGGGATCTGCTCAGTTTTTCAGTAAAGAAACTCATTCTCTTTTGTCAGCTCAAAAGGTGAAGGGGATTTTTCATATCACAGCTAAACCAGGAGTCTCTAGTTCCAGGAGGTGGTAAGTCCAGGTGGTGGGGTTTGAGGTAACGCTTCTCCAAAACTGTTTTGGTGGTGGCTCCCTTGTTCAAGAATTGTTTGGGGTAGGACTCCTTTGATACAGAAGCGACCTCCCAGACCAGTGTTTGTGGACCCCCATGACAGTGAACGTCTGTGGTCAAGGTGACCTCACTTGGGCTTGGCTACCCAAATCCTGAGCCAGTCTGTGTTCAGAATGGGGCCAGTTTCATCAGGGGAAGAACCCGCATGTCAGGAATGAAAAAAAGTATTCCCTTCCCTAGCAAGGACTAACTGATAAGTATTCTGGGAAAGAATATTTTGAGTATTTAACAACATTTGCTGAAGTAGGTCTCGGCTCTCAACTGGAAGGCTTTCAGACTTTTTTCTTTCCCTGTGCTCAGCCTCTGAGATGTCCCTAGTTTTTTCTAGGGCTTGTTCAAAGAGCCTTAAAATTGATTGACTTGGCTGCTGCGAGTCTGTTCTTTTCCTGTAGAGCTTTAGGGTATACACAGGAGCAAGGCTGCTTGGCAAGAGGGGAACATTTAGAGATACTTGCAGCAGTGAAAACTACTTCATCCTTTTATTTCCTTTTTCCCCTCAGTTTTGAAGGAGTACCTGGAGGAGAAGGGTGGCGTGTTCTTTCTTCTCTGCAGCATAAACCGTAGTGAACCAAATATTTCTTGTTTCAACAAACAACTATGGAGCTGCTCCTTAATGTTTTTCACAGATGGCTTAATGCTGAGGAGAGCAATTCTGTTAGAAAAGGGGTCACCCCCTGCCTGCATCAGGTGTTTCTCTTTGGCCTGGTGGATCACCCTGACTCCACTCAGCTGTGGGGCTGAGTGAGGTTTGCACCACACAGGCAGGACTTGGGAGTGTGGGGAAGCAAAGTTCACTATTCCTGGTCTTTGGACAAGGTATTGATCCATCTGCCAGCAGTTTGTATGACAAGGCTTTCTGAAGGAAGCATAACTATGTTTTCTTTTCTTTAAAACATTTTGTAAGAGTAATCTTTGTATGATAAGGCTTTCTGAAGGAAGCATAACTATGTTTTCTTTTCTTTAAAACTGTTCATTTTGTAAGAGTAATCCGTAAATATAAGGGAAATTATAAAGAATAAATAGTAGAAAGGCTGATAGACACAGCAACTGTACAGTTAAATATGATGGAGACACTGATTTTCAAATAGTTTTTGAAGTTTTTACCACAAAAGCATTATGTTTAATTCATATGAATTGCTATTATTGAAGTGAGATTGAATCTAAAACTTTAAAACTCGCATATGATTGGTGACAGTTCATTTCTAAAAAATGGGATGTCCTAAATACGTCAGAGTTTTTATGCATCTACTTGCTTTTTGTGCAGTGCTCCCCCACCCTCAGTTGTTTGTTGTAGTAGGTACTGTGAAAATGGGTGCCTTAGAAGTAGATAAACAGAAAATGGACGTAGGTAAGAAATTAAGCTGTCCAGGTAATCGGATATATTTTACGGTCTTTGTCAGTCTGAATATGTTGCTCGCTCCTGATCTTTCTTTCAGCTGCACGTTTGCATACCCTGGCAGCTGACTGCAGTTCCACAACACCTGAAAAATCTTCAGATCTATCCATAGTCAATGGGAAAATAACATCCTGGTGGGCCCCAGATGGAAGAAAGAGAGCAGATGACCTCCTAAGCACCCTCCCTACCTGAACCTTTAGGATCCTGTGTTTTCACTAATATATCCTCATCCAGAGCAGCTCCCTCTCTGAAACCACCTTTCTCACTGGAGCAGCTGAGGTTGCATCGTGTTCTTGGCTGCGAAAGCCTTGTCTCAGCCGTCACTGTGTTTCCACAGGGAGTATACCCAAACCCTTGAAATGTAAAGCACACGCTTCCAGTTTGTTTCCAGGAGCCATTCTATGTGGGAGGACAGTTGTTCTCCTTAAAAATGCTCTGGGATGAATCACAGGCACAGAGCAGTAAGCTCCTGGCAGAGGCGCCTGTGGAGGGGTGCAAGTTCATGTTGCCAGAAATAATTTAATGCCCCAATTTTCTCTGCTGCTGCAGGCTGGGATGGGGAAGGTGGTGGCCACTCACACAGATTGGGGGCAGCTCTGTGTTATGGTATCACAGAATGGTTGGAGTTGGAAGGGACCTTAAAGATCATCTAGTTCCAACCCTCCTGCCGTGGGCAGGGACACCTCCCACCAGACCAGGTTGAGTTGAGGTAGCTCTGGTATGGTTTAGATGTGCTCATGGCTTGCCTGGAATTAGCGTTGGGGAGATTTGTTGCCCTGAAATTTAGTGTTCCTTCAATCTTGCTGGGAAAAAAAAAAAAAAAAAAAGAAGTTCCATGAATAAGTTATTGCAAAACCAGATTGACCCATTCAAGCATGCAGATGTTTTATTTAAATATTCCTCAAATGTCTATTTATTCAGCATAACGCATGTATTATGCTGCCTTCTGAAATACGATATATGACTGTCAAACAAAATTGTCAAAACAACAACCTTGGTTTCTTTGTATGATACACAGAAATAATTACATTTCATGTACAGTACAGATGCATTTTACACAGTCATCAACAGTCATTCACTACCAAAACAGCATTAAAATCACCTAAAACACCGAAAGAATGTGTATTTCCCAAATTCAGAATAAATTAATGATTTTGAATGTGACATATGGAAATAGGAGACAGGACTGAAATTCTGCAAAATCATATTAAATTATTCCTTAGGCTGCATTTAAGAAATGAAAGTACAAGTTGCTTCAGGGGTATAACTGTTATGCAAGTGTATTGCTGTAGTGCATTATTTTTAGTCCATATGAGACGGAGAATAAAGAGATTTTTTTAAAAGACACGTGACCTAACGGAGTCAGTAGGTTTCCTGGGTTGTATGTACTCTGTCCCAAAGTGGACTTAGTAACTGCCTTTTTGCATTGTTTACCAGATATAACTCATCAAGAAGTACCATGTGGCATGAAGAAGTTGTTGCTGCAGATTGCTAATATCAAGGCAGTTTTTATGTCAGTAACCGATTGCCGGAAGGTGGGGACCAAGCTGGTTTTTGTATGAGTAACCATGGGTAGAAGTATGATGCAAGTAAAAACCCTGGGTCCATTCTGCCTCTCTTTTAAACCCCGTTAAAACTTGCATGACCAACCAGCTCCAGCAGATCTACTGCAGTTTTCCAAGAGAGTGCAAGAGAGGAGAGCGACCTCAGGCAATGGACCTCGGCAGAGCTCCTCAGAAGGAGCACTCCCCTGGCTCAGAGGACAGTCTGTGCTTCTTCTCTCTGCTAAGGCTTGAAAGGAATGTAGAAGCTCAGTTTACAATGACAACGTTATTCTGATTTGCAGAAAAAGTAGGAAGTTAATTGCAAATTAACCAAGCTTCCGAGTATGTATATGATAAGATACAAGAGTAATGCATAGCATTATGTACTCCTTTTAAC